AAGCCTTAAATATTACAAAAGGTCCAGGTAGTGATGGAATACCTGCAGTCTTTCTTCAACGATGCTGTAAGGAACTTTGTAAACCGTTAACTCGCCTTTTCAATCTATCGCTTAATCGATTTCAAAGTTTCCCTTCTAAATGGAAGGAAGCACACATAGTTCCAATACACAAAAAAGGTTCTCGGAATAAAATCGAACATTATCGACCTATTTCTATATTAAATACGTTTGGTAAGCTTTTTGAAAAATTGATTTCTAAAACGTTTAGTGCTTTTATTTTTAAACAATTACCTCAACAACAACACGGTTTTGCTAAAAAGCGTTCAACTATCAGTAATCTTTTAGTATTTGCAAACTATATATTTAGCAGTATGGACAAAGGGGAGCAAGTAGACGCAATTTATACAGACATAGAAAAAGCGTTCGATCGTGTTGATCATGTCATCTTATTACATAAACTTTTAGCGTTAGGTATTCGTGGGGACCTTTTTAGATGGATAAAATCATATATAACAAATAGAAGGCAAGCAGTTGTAACTGGTGGACTGAAAAGAATGTTAGGATTGGGTACCGAGGATCATATTGGACCGGTATTGTTTAATGCTTTTTTATAGAAAATGTGAGATTCGAAATTTTTATGTTCGCGATGACACAAAATTTTTTCTAAAAATTAAATCTATAGATATTGTGATAAATTAAAAGATCTAATAGATTAGAAACGTATTATAAAATAAATAAATTATCAATTAACATAGACAAATGTAGAAAATTACTTTTATAGGAAAAATAATAAAATTAGTTTAATTACAAGTTTAATGACACCCCAATAAAAAATGTTAATTCAATTAATGACTTAGGTATACTACTAGACGATAAAATGAACCTTTCTCTTATATAGATCACGTAAAGATAAAGCATATAAACAGTGGGCTTATTAAACGTATATGTAAAACCTTCTCAAACATAAATTCTATTAAATGTATTTATTTTGTTTTGTAAGAAGCATACTCGAATTTGGGTTTGCTATTTACTTAAATCACATTGGAAAGTTAGAAAATATCCAAAAAAGTTTTTAAGATTCTTAATTTTAAACAATATTTACACGATTAACGGATTATGAAGATTTTAGCAAATTCTAGAATGCAGGCGTAAAAATAGACATATGTGAGAAAAATGAGATGGATTGTTGAACTTTTAAAAATACGGTTCCTTCAGCCTACAAAACCAGGCATTGCACCCTATTCCATATTCCTCGATCTAACAGTAACTATCTAAATAACTCACTATGCATCGCTACCCAGTATTTACAATAAATATTAAGTATTCGAATATTTTATCTTAATAGATCGCGTACGAAAAAAAAATAAATATACAGTCAGAAAATTTCCATGTCGGATGATAAAAATAAAATGTAAAATTTACACACAACTTAAAATTCCCTTATCTATTTCCCTGAAAAAAAATTGTAAATTAGCCCTTGAAAATTTTTTCTTTTTGTAAAAGGAAATAATAAAAAAATGAAAAAGAAGAAATCTTCAACTATTAAGATTTAAATATTCCTTTGACAAAAAAAAAAGAGAAAAAAAAAAAAAAAAAATGTCAACAAGATAGTACAACTGTCAGTCAGCAATCTGTGGTTTCGGAGGACACCCAATCGATTCCCGGATTAAATATTCATATTTGTGCATTCCAATTTCATGCGAGGCCGTACGAAGGGCTCTTGTCTGTTTTTGACGCTTTTATTTCCTCTTTTAATTTTTCTTCTCGTTCTAATATTTAATATGGCCATAGTGTGTAAAATCCCATCAGTCAAGTGTTTAGTGCTCAATATTTGTAAAATAGATTTAATATGGCGTATTAAATACTTTCCGTTAAAAAACTACTTTTAAATCTTCTCTTACATTAATAATCCCATAGAAAAGCTGTTGAGTTTGACTGTGAGCACATATTAAATAAATAAATGTTATTTTTAATTTTAAAATATGTATGTGTTTTACTGGTTTTTATATTTTGATTAGTGAATCTTTACTAAAATAAAGGGATGGAAGTGTTTTTCTTTTGTCTTGATTAGAGCATGCATTGATTGTAAACTATTAAACATTACGCTGAAAGTAAATGTGGAGAGAACGGAGAAAATTATTCAGCTTGCTAGGTACCCTTTGCGAATGCTGCGAAATCGATTCAAGGTACCCAAAAAATATGTATAAATGAACTTTAAAAAATGTCCGCGACTCCATATGCCTATCCTTTAAGATGAACTTGCAAGAACGACGGGGCCCGAGCGACGTCGTGGGTCGTGGGCCTAGTTGACGCTCAAATAACTATTCTACGCTTACGAAGTCGCTGGCACAGCTAGTATGGGACAACTTTAGTGGACATAGGAAAAGCGAGCGCCTCTGTAGCCAAATGGTTAAACGTGTTGCCTAGCATAGCGATTGTTTGGTCGGGAAGGGTACAGTAATCGGATCAACTACTGCATGGTCTCTGCCTAATTTGACTTGGATAACTTTAGGAAGCTTTTGCAAAGCACAGTTCAAAATAAACCAGAAGGTTTTAGAGCTTTGAACCTTAACGACTACGGCCACTTAATGGTGATGAAGTCCTATCTGTAATTTACGCGAGTAGTAAACATTCAAATTAAATACTTTCAACATTTTAAAACGTAAAATAGATTCGTTAACATTTAACTTCTTTAATGAGATTTGACTTATGATTAGGGACACCATGTTCAGTGCCTCCGTGACCACGCTGCTGCAAAGCATTCGAAACGTCAGGTCATATTTAAAATACATTGAAACAAGTTAAATATTACATTTCGTGTAACTAAATATTTAAAATAAATGCTACTACGTAACTAATGTATATTAAGTAACTAAATTTAAATGTGTACTACTCGCATATAGAGACAATACATAAATATTTTATATGATGTGAATTTGAATTGCCATAAGAATGGTACTTACGGCACGCTGTTTGTTGCGGGTTCGTGTCCTACCTTGTTGTAAATTTTCATTATTCAAATCTTTATACTACACTCTAAATTAGCTTATTCAAGCTTTCCTTAAAATATACCTCATTCGAGCTGTCATACGCATGTCAATATTAACTTTCACATCGCCATTTGCACGTTTGTTAAAATTCTTTTGGCGTTGGACAAAATCCAACACAGCTTATTAAAGCTAATCTTATCCGTATAATTATCGCGATATTGGCGGTATCTTTCCAAAAAAAGTCTCCGCGAAAGACATTCCTACATAAACATTGATCATGAATACAAATGGCTTTTCAAGTTAGGCTCCATGTTTTTTCATTGAAATTGGAAACTTTATTTCGGCGTTCTCTACTCGCTAAATTTTATGGACTAGTTGTTTGTTGTACAAAGCTAAAAAAATAAAATTGCAAAACTTTAATTCAAACGGGCTCGTTGGTCCAATGGTAGCAATCTGTGGCTATTAATAATCAAGGGGTCTTGGGTTTGATTCTCGCCCGGTCTCGGTATTTATAACATTTAATTTATAATTTTTTTGAAACATGTTGATGTTACAATTCAACGTCTGAAAAATCTGAATGTTAATTGGGTGGTAGTAAAATCGAATTGTGGGTCTGTCTAAAGCCATATAGGGCGATAGCGCATCTTGTTTAGATGTTATGTGGCTGAGGCATTTTATGGAATAAAGTCCATGCGTGTCTGTTCTCTTTTATCAGAAAAAATAGCCTAGTATTTATATGTCGTTTTGCTAGACGGGAATATTTAATTACAGAATAAGTATGTCGTACAACCGTTTGCCAAAACTCAAGATTTAGACCCTTAGAGAATAGAGGGAGGACAAACAAACCGACACTTTTTTATCATAATACATTCCCAATTAGTGCACACAGCTATAAAATACGATTTCATTAAAGGCGTATTTTCCAACATGGTAGGTAAATTTTCTATTGACCTATCAATAAGTTACGTGGGTCGTCGCGAGCTACTTAAAAGAAATACTTAATGCTCTTGAACATCTTTGAAGTTATTTGAAAAAGGCTGGAGGCGGCGGTCGTTAGGCGCCAAGCGTCGCTAGGCAACGCGAGATCCGTTGCTATAAACGTCGTCCCACGATTTGTGGCGAAAATATTTTCGCCCGAGCTGAGGACACAGTTGAAATATTAGACAGTTGGCCGGGATTATAAAAATTAGCTTTAATAGCTATAATAGAATCGCTATCTTTAAGTCCATAGAAATGAAATAATTTCAAAAAGTACATACATTGTTATCATGCAATGCAACTTTTGTAATGTTGTCTTTTTCTGCGCTAAAAAAGTAACGTTATATTATATATTAATTAAATTATATTATTGTATATAGACTCTAAAATATTAAAGAATTTTTCATTTTGTTATCCCTAACTTTCCTAATTAAAATTTATGTTTTAATGACACAAAAGACGAAGTGTACTTGATTGAAATTGTCATTCTCTAGCCCAGTAACAACTATAACAAGATATGTCGTAGACATATTTTGGCTTCAGACCTTATTTTTATTAAAAGACAGACCTATTGTTGGTTAAACACTATCTGTAATTTACGTAAGTAGAACACATTTAAATAAAACATTTTTTTTTATTTATCTTTAATGGTTTAAAACGCAATATTTATTACTTAAACTTGTTTATAACACCATAGTCACGTCCTCTTTAGTCTCCCTATGACACAGCTGCTGCAACTAATTAGAAACTGCGAATCGCACTTAAAAGAAATTTGTAAACAAGTTTAACTAATTATTTGTTTAATTATTTTTTTTGGTTCTACAATTATAACTATTCCCTACTGTTACTTATATTCTGTGGTCTAAAGCTAAAGTGTGGTGTGGGCTGTGGACCCCAAGGGGGTCCAACCACGAATAGTTTCCATTTAATACTATCTGTATTTGTTTGTTGCGAAGTACACTTACATGTTTTCGACCATGGAACAACATACATTAAGACACATTCGAAATTTAAATGGTATGATTGTTTCAGGATATCGACTATGAAGGCTTCAAGTGGTTTCTGGACACGTTCCTCGAGGTCTCCACTCCTGATGAATTATCCAGGTATGCAAAATCCGAGGTAGATAAAGAGAATGAACAAACGTTCGTTATTAGATTAGTAATTCCTAAATTTTCAAATTAGCAACTGTAAAGAGAGTAGCGTAAAAATAATTTTATAGTTATCCAAATATCGGAAACATCGTATTTTTTTTGTTTCTGTACACTTTCGTGAACGTTTCTTATATTAAAAGTAAATTCCCGGGCGAACATGTCAGCGTATATACGCCTGACAGATTTTATTTACATGTAGTTGTTAAGACTTTAGTACGCTGTCTGAAACCATTGCCTCCCGGGATTCAAATCCATGACTAGACAAGGTCATTGAACATTAGAGGCGGTCTTATATTATATATTTAATCAATTTTTTTTCTTGTTACTTACGCTGTTGACAGACATTTGTTTCTGTCATTCGTCCGGAGGGATAAGAGGCCGGCGCTTCGCGAAATGGCGGCGGCGAGTTCTACAGCCGCATGCGCAGCCGTCACGGCTCACGGGGACCATCAGGTAATAAGACTAAATATACCTTTGTTTTGATACTATATCTTATGGGGTATTACGTCTTGCTCATGAAAGAAGTAGCCTTAGTAGTTAGCCAATAATATGTGTTATATTACTATCTCAAGTTCACGCGAGTAGTATACATTTAAATAAAACACTTTAAGCAATAAAGTTTGCGTTTTAATCCGTTAAAGTATAAATTAAAAATCAATAATAAATTCCGTTCCGTGTGGATGCAGGTTCAAGTCCTGTCAGTGTAGTATTTTTTTTTCGATTTACAATCGATTTTTAGATTATATAGTGACATCAAGTAAAAATAACAATAACATTTAAAAAATATCAAAGTTTTCAGCCGTTAAAGTGTTTTATTCAAATGTTTTATTATTTCAAAGGGTAAACTAAGCCTCGCCTCTAAGATCCATGGCCTAGCAGAACGGTTGCAGCAGCTCGGGAAGAGTTCCAGCGATTCCGTGGATGGAGATAAGGGCTCGAGGAGTAGAACTGGTAAGGTACAGCCAGATGCACACTTAACGGAACCCGTTTTTATTTCAGTTTCATAGATGTCTGTTTCACAGTGTAGAAAAGTTGAAGACTCTGTTCCCCGTACGACGAAATTTCTTGTTTCACAGTAGTTCGAACTATTTAGCACAGAGTGAAGTCTGTTTTTAGTACTTACAGACAAACCGTCTCCATGACCGAAACTTTTATAAAAAAATTACGTTTTCGTTCTCTTTGTAAAAAGTATAATTACATGACTGTATTGTATGCCGTGCGCTGCAAAGCATTCGAAATCACGTTAAAGAATTGGTAACACTCAACTAATATATTTAAATCGTTAAAGTTTAAAAAAACAGAGCGGTCTGTTTATTAACTAATATATCACTTTTACCGTTAAGTGTTATAAGACGTAAAATATAAATGTTTTATTTTAAAATATAATAACAATATTTGAGGGTTGGTTTCAAATGTAAATTTAGTATTTCGTTTTTTACTCTATTGAGGTACAAAAGACCACCTAATTACTTAAATAATGATTTTTTAACTCTGTGAATATAATAGACAAGAAATAGAAGAATACGCAGCTCTTTTTTTTTGTAAAGTAATGAGACTGGACTAAGAGCGTTTTCAACAGGCAGCGTCCACCCGATGTTTTCCGTGACCACCCACCCGTCCTACTCCTCACACGAGCTGGGCATAGGAAGGAACGAGACGAGCCCCTCCCACAGCCAGATGTCCAGGAATTCCAGCAGGAAGAGCAGCAATTCGCTGCGAGTCAATCAGTCGACTAAAATTGAGGGTTGGTCACCTTATTAAGTTTAATTGTGAAATTCCATATCCCTTGTAGGTATATAGCGGACACAGTTTTGTGTCCGTTTTACTAATCTGTTTTTCAGGCAAGTAATCGGTCAGGCTAAGGCATATCTAAGCTAGAAGGTCATTATCACCCCAAAAGAAGTAATTTATCTTTAATTATATTATGTCTTTGGGATTCGAAGCTAGGGAACTCTCGTTTAAACACGAGACTATTGAGCAAGAGTTGGGTATTTATTAAGTATAATATTGTCCCTTAACTGAAGTTGAAAATGTCTGATTTTTCATAATATTTACTTCTACTAAGATCTAATGTTTTTTTAGACTTTAAACACCTGATGCGGCGTTCTTCAACTCTGGAAGTCCACACGGCTCGAGTTTCACTAAAGGACATCGTCTGCTATTTGTCGCTTCTGGAAGCTGGTAGACCAGAAGACAAACTCGAATGTAAGAAGCCTTTTTTCTTTAAAACTATTTCCTTGTAGGCTTTCCCATTTCCGATTCTCAGTTAGCTAGTTATTGGGTGATTATACTGACAATTTATTTTATTTTAAACTATAGATTCAATATTTGATTGTATGCAATGGGTCAGTTACCGCTATCGAACGGTTTAATATGTTTCATGAGATTTTGTAGGATTTTGTAATTTCTTTATGACTCTGGGGAACAGACAGGTGTGAAATCCACTTATTGAGGATGAATGATATGATATTTCATCTTACGATACGTACTCCTACTACTATAACATCTAAAATACAGAGCTCAAATGATCATATAATATCCCCAATATCCAGAATGTTTAAATTATATAATTAGTTTTTAAAAATATGTAGGACGCGCTAAAAATCGAACCTCTGATTATTACATTACATTATTCGTCAATAATGGTTTTTTTTATATTTCAGTTATGTTCCGCCTTTACGACACCGATGGCAACGGCGTTCTGGACACAAATGAGATGGACTGCATCGTCAACCAGATGATGACGGTGGCTGAGTATCTTGGTTGGGAGACATCCGAACTTCGGCCGGTGAGAATATCTGTTCATTACACATACATGCACATTTCGTTACAGTATAAACAGTAATAATCTTTTTTGGAATTTTACAAAATGGGTTCTCGGACTATTCAGCCATCATAATTGTTTCTTTTTTCATATTCAGCTAAGGCACAAACATTTTAGAGTAAGTGCTCAGCTTCTGGGTCCTATTCAATCAAAAAGTTTATCATGTTTCAGTGGAGTCCCTGATAACCCGACTGACCTACTGAGATGGCCTACGTAGATACAGGAATTTAATTTCTTAAAAATATATTACAGATACTTCAAGACATGATGGTTGAAATCGATTACGACGCTGATGGGACTGTCTCCCTCGACGAGTGGAAAAGAGGAGGGTAAAGATATTTTTGCGTATTAATAGATTTAATCCTAATAGTAAATATGCCTGGAATAATAACAACTTACAAAGAAGTCCTTGCGTCTCTGTAATATCTTTGGAAATATTAATTTAAATATATCATAAGGCCATCTTCATCTCTATTAAATGAACGATGTACTTAACGTGTTAAATTGGTTCTAACACATCGCAAGTAATCCGTTTTTCCAAAAAAATGTAAAGTATAAAAAATCGTTATTGTCTGGTATCCTTAAGATTTAGACAAAGACCATTGCGGACGTTTTTCTTGAGCTTTTTAAGGCGTGCAATACTGTAGTACAGTATTTTTTACTTCTCGGGCTTCAACTAACAACATTGTAAGCGCAAAGCTAAGTGTTAATTACTTAAATTATTTTAAAAACCACTTAATTTATCAGTCTTCAATATTACAAATATAAACCCTTCTCTTTTAAATCTAAAAAAAACAATAGAATCTGATTGCATAATCTAATCTTTAAACATACATAGGAACTACAGTAGTATTACTGAATAGGGTCTGAAGACAAATCTAGCGAAGTTACACAAAATATTACAACGACACTTAGGTTTTTTTTTTATCTTTACCACCTATTTATAGTTGTGTCTTGCTATATAAGGCTAAAATGTTTAAGAATAATAATGATAAAATATGTTAGAGCCTTCATTAATTGTAATGGTTAATAATAGTATTTGTAATTAATAATATGTATGCATTTTCCTATGCGGTAACTGTTTTCACTGAGGTTGAGAACACAGTATTGTTTTCCTTAAAATACCAATAAATGTCATACTGTAGCAATGTATGATATTTATTTCGATACAGACAAAGTCACATGGATTCAACAATACAATTCAATCATTTCACATACTTAATAAATTGTTTCGTAAGTCAAAACAATGTTTAAAGGTTCTTCAAGTGGAGTTTGGTGTAAAAGACATACAATAACAAAACATCGTACTAAAGCCAGTTTTATCATTTTGGATCCTCTGGGTCCTTAGAATGACTTTTCGTTCATTAAACAAAATTAAAACACACATATTACAGAAATAATAAAACTTTAAATTTTTCATATCCACATGCTGGCTCCATGTAAATTAAAATTCAATTAGAAATTGAAAAAAATTACGACTCGGATAGGACTTGAAACGGCACCCACAGCGTTCCGTGCTGTTGCCCTAACCAATTGTATAGTAGTAGTATCTACTGAATCCTTCACGTCGTCGAATTTTTTCGAACTTATTGGTACATGCACCTCTCGCGCAATGTAATTTCAACCGTAACACTTATGGATTAAGGTTCAATTTATGATGGATTTTTAATTACAGTAATGTATTTAAATAAAACAGTTTAACGACTTAAAACGCGAATATATTTTAGTTAAAGTCATTTGAGAATGACTTTTACTCCAAACGAGTTCAACTAAAATATATCGCGTTTAAGTTAAAGTATTTTATTTAAATGTGTTCTACTCGCGTAAACTACAGACAGTATTTATACGAGTGTATAGCAACAACTAATGCTCAAACATACGTATTTTAGGATGACAACGATACCCTTGCTCGTTCTACTCGGTCTGGACACAAACGTGAAGGAGGATGGAGAGCACGCCTGGAGACTGAAGCACTTCAACAGACCGGCTTACTGCAACCTTTGTTTGAACCTTCTCGTCGGGCTCGGAAAGAAAGGACTATGTTGTATATGTATGTTACATCTTATGTGAACACAACTTTTTTGACAGTGGAGGAGTGAGGACGGCGAGCATGTCGTTTACTTTAACGCTATGTGCTGTGCCCTTTGATAGTTCATTCATGGCATTGGCTATTTCAAGTGTGAATGGTGGTTTGTTTAGGTGGAATTTCGATATTTCTAACTATTGATCCAGATATCCAGACGAAGTCCAACAGGTTTCAAATGAATTATAAATTTTTAGAAAATAGTAGGGATCGAATCCGACATCCACTGATTATTTGCATATATTGCTACCATATTTTAGATCAACGAGGCCGTCAAATGTTATTAAAACTTGAATATATAAAATATTAGCTGTGCCCGCGACTTCGTCCGCGTGGAATAGTGACTCAGGGGAATTGTAATTATTGAGGCTGTTTATAAATTTATGTAAGGGCGCATTTAAGGCAGCCAATCTTTGTTTTTAGTGCTACTTTGCTGCAACGCTCATTCCTACACTCACTCCCACGCCAACGCAACGCTCCTCCCACTTCCCAAAAAGCCAATGAAGAAAGTTACATTGTTCTAGCTTCAAAAACAACAAACTTTCATCCCCTTTTTTGGCATTAAAAAATTGCCTTTGTCCTTTCTCAGGCTCTAAAATATCTGTGTACCAAATTTCATTTAAATTAGTTCAGTAGTTTCCGAGTTAAAGCCGGACATACAGACAAACAGACAGAGTAACATTCGCATTTATAATATTAGTATAGTTAATTGTAGCTCGTCAATTGTCGACACGGTGAGCCGTTTTTCGCGGATTCAATTCGGCCTGTGTCATAGATTTTTCTAGTTCTGTTGAATATCAGTATAGACAACTAGTATTTAAAGAAATTACGTCTTTGTGTCTGATTAATTTTATTTACAGACGCCGAGATAAGCTAAAATACTTATATGTTACTATTATTCCATAGCACCGTGCTAAGAACGAGAGGGTCCTAGGTTTGAATCCTGGGGAAACGTTACCTCTAAAATCAATCAATGAAACGGACATAGAAATATATATTCACCCTATGACTCTATATAAAGGGTAATTCAATGGTCTAAGAAACCCGTTCGTCTCATCGCTTATCGGTTATCGTCCTATTTCAGTCTGCAAGTTCACAGTGCACGAGAGATGCGTGCAACGTGCGCCTGCGTCGTGCATCGCGACATATTGCAAGGCGAGGCGAGCGCCCTCGACTCTTGCGCATCATTGGGTCGAAGGTAAGGAAATGTTAATGTACTTATGATACTAACACAAGATGGAAACTAGACCACACAGATCTGAGGTTTTAATATTGAGCATTGGAGTCTAGTTCTTTTATGAATAAAATTGTTTAAATGTATACATATAATATACCACCACTTCTTTACCACCAGCGAATGTGTAGGAGCAAAGAAATATCTTGATATTCTCTCGCACTAAGGGTTTCGCCGAATCAGAACTTAGCACTTTTGAGGGCCTTTTAACAACGAGCACAAAGGAGCCTCTTTAAAAGTTTTCTTTTTTCCCTTTAGTATTAGCTTTTATAGATGTAACAAATATACGGAAAATGTTTTTTTTAGCTATATAGTTATAGCACTTCTATTCACCACCTAATTTTAGAAAGAACAAAATAAAGTTTTTTTTAGCTTTCCGTTACGGAACCCTAAAAATAGTACATTGTAGTTCTCGGGTTAGTTCAACGCCTATGAAAAGGGGTTCTTTGTTTTATTTCGAGGTTAACGATGACATTCGTTATTTCAGGCAATTGTCACGGAAAATGCGCGCGTTGTCGGAAAAAGATCAAAGGGTACAACGGAATCACAGGGCTCCATTGTCGCTGGTGTCACATTACTGTAAGTTCACATCGTGTGACTTTTATTTAACAAATTGTTAGTTTTTTTACTGACTTGCATATGGTTTCCTTGATGGAAGGTACCTTATCTATATATCATCTAAGCGCACTACGCTGTCAACTATTGGAATGCCACAGACTGAAGCTCAAGAGCACATTTAGATTTCACAGCCTTTTCATCTGTGGCAGGTGGTTCTTGACCCGGAAAAATATTGATATGCCACTCATTTAATGCCAATTAAATCATTTGTAGGGACATATTGGACCCGGTGGAAATTGAACCCACGATCTATACCATAGATCAACGAGCCCATCCTAGTTGTAACAGTTCTATTTTTATCTCATGCCGTCTACTATAGACATTGTATAAAGACGGCCATTTTGCAAAGAGGTTTTCGAACTGTTCGTCCATAGTTGCGACATGGTTCGTTTCGCCATCTTCAGTGGATGAAATCATTAGGAAATGTGACATATTTCTCGACTAAGCGAACATTGATTTATTTGATCTTTTAAAATAAAACACTTTAACGGTTGAAAACGCGATATATATTAGTTAAACTTATTTTTAAATATTATTAACTTCGGCGGAACAGATGGCTGCTGCAAAAGTACCGAATCGTCAGGCGGTAGTTAAAATAATTTTCAAATAAGTTTAACAAATATATGTCGCGTTTTAAACCGTTAAAGTGTTTTATTGACGTATTAAATGACAATGAGAATCTTCTTGAACGAGTCTTTGCATTCCAGCTTCACAATCGCTGCGTGGGCAGTGCGGGTGGTGCTTGCACACTTGGTCGTCATGCCAAGCACATTCTACCACCCACAGCCATCAGACCGTTGGTGCTAGACCGACAACGTTCATTGCCTCATAGGCCACAGGCAGAACAGGTAATCTCGCATTGTTTAAAGATTCTAAACGCAGAATATATTGGTTAACTTTTTTAACTAAGACAATTTAATTAAGGCGAAGTTTCGGGTGCTTTGTTTGACTCATGTGTATTTTTGAAAAGAAATTATCATCTGTCTTCTAGCTTTTTATTTAATGTAATATTATATATTATACATTTACTTTCAAAATTATCATATTGTCATTCGCTGCGAACACTATTTGGTAATGAAAACTAGGGTATACATGGTATAAAGTTAAAGTTGTTCTTTTTTTTTCAAAAATCAGGGGTTATAAAGAAGAGAAAGAAGAATAGAACAAAAAATAAAAAGACGAATCGCCGGAGGTGCATAGCTCCAAAATATATATATTTTTTAATTTTTAACAAATTTTTTTTTTATATTTGATGTTTTTCCAAAAATTTACATATATTTTTATTGCAGCAAATGCTTCCTGTCTCAATTTCCCTACCGATATCTATATCCGCGGGGACAGAAGAGAAGAAAGAACAGAAAAAGGAGCACCGCGCTCCCCCCATCTCGTTTCAGATAACCCCCCCCCCGGAGGGTACGTGCCCCCTTCTTGTGTTCATCAATCCCAAGTCGGGGGGGCCGGCAGGGTTCGAGGGTATTAAGGAAACTGCAATATATTTTGAATCCGAGACAAGTTCACGATATCGCTAAGGGTGGACCTATGCAAGGTAATTTTTATTTTATTACAACATTTGTTTGTAGCAAGAAATTAGTATCCCACGGCTGGGCTCAGTTCTTTTCGCTTACAAGAATAGTGTTTAAGAAGACACATCACATGCATTGGGGGCCCCGCTACCCCCTATTATCTTTAATATAGTGCTGACAAGAGAAACCGATAGCTTGATGAAACGTACTTTCAAACTCCGACCTGGTACTAAATTTTCTTAGAAAACTAAACCAGGTTTTGAACCTGGCACCTTGTCTATAGTCGAATTTATTAACGACTAGAACAACGAAGTAGTTAAATTAGAGTTGAAATATTTATCTTTTTCTGCACCGCCAAGGAAGCGGTGTAAAAATATGTATGTGTTTGATCAAACTTACCTCCAAAACGGATATATCGCTTATGATAAGAATTTTATTAATGGCCGAAGTTATAATGAACTTGATAAGGTTATCAAATTCTGTGCATTGTATTTTGTTTAAGGTCTTCAGATGTTCAAAGACGTGAAAAACTACAGGGTAATATGCTGTGGTGGTGATGGTACAGTTGGCTGGGTGCTGGAGACTATGGGTGAGGATTTATATTTTATTTTTTACAATGAAAATGTTGAAATTTTGTCTTTAATGATTTCTTAATCTTCAAAGTATAAGACAACTTCAAAATGTAAGACAATCGAGGCCGCTAGAGCTAGAGTAGCCTAACTACAATTTTGTGACTTAACTTATTTATATTTGTATAGCCTAAAAATGTTAATAAGAGCACAGTAACTGAAAATTGTTAACACAATTCTAACAAAAAAAAAAAAAATTGTCTACTTTTTATGTTTAATTGTTAAAGCTTTTTAATTTAATAACATAGTTTATAAGCATAGCATAGCATATAATTTATTATTAGGCCACTCTGGCTCTAGCAACCTCAATTATAAACGTTAATGCAATTAAAACAGAAAAAGATTCAGAATTATTACATATTATTGCACTTTTATTTAAAAGTTTGATGCCAATTTTAGGTTATTATCGATCACTATATTTTATAAGTTTCATCGCGCTGGCAATGAAAAATGTGTACGTTACAGATAAGATCCAAATGGAAACCCAACCAGCAGTGGGGGTGATACCACTTGGAACTGGTAACGACCTCGCCAGGTGTTTAAGATGGGGAGGAGGGTAAGTCAATTATGTTTTTATCTCTTAAAACAAATTAATATTTTGTATCTCTGTCTCTTTCTAGTGAGTTTTAACTAAATCATTAAGCTCTTAACGTGGTCATTAGGTATGTGATAATAATGCATTTCTTTAATTTAGGAGGACAGTCAAGGGTCACTTGATGGGAGGTGTACTATCTGCCTATAGCATCTAAACAAGATGCGCTGGCGATGCGCTGCCTGTTTTGGCTTTGGATTTTCGTATGGGTCATAATAATTAACGGGGCTTCAATTCCCTTTAAGGCTAACGTGTTTTGAAAATTAGGAATATAAAAGTGTGAACACGTTTCAGTTTTCATATCACCACACTTCTATATTTGAAATCTAAAGCGAAAATAAGTCTATTGCACATCTGTTTTCAAATGGGGGTTTTTCATTAACTGACAGAGATAACACTCATGTTTAGCATTTTCAATTGAAAATTCAAATTTATGTACCTCTGAAGTCAACCTTTACTTCTTTTAATTGAAATAATATTGAATATTTTTTTCAGCTACGAAGGCGAATCGATACACAAGATCCTGGACAAAATAGCCCGAGCTAGTACAATCATGATGGACAGATGGCAGATTCATATTGAAATATATAGTCACGATGTAAGTATCATTTGTAGTTATGGGGTATATGACGTCACTGGTTATTGTGACGTCACGTTTAAAAAAGCATTTATACCACTCGTGAAAAATAATTGTGCCCGTCTGTTTTAACGACGTCTATGCTAAGGGTAAAATAGAACAATCTAGAAATAAAAGAATATAATTACTTAACATAATGGAAATAATATTTAAAATTATAGAGGCTTTTCATTAACTAATTAAATAATCTGGATAATCATAATTTTTAAAACACATGGTAAGCAATGAGTTAACTATTATTTTTCACCAGTTCCGGCACCAGGATGTTATTTTAATGTGTATTACTCGTGCTAAGTACCGATAATACTTAAACTTGATTTTTTATCGATAATGTTAAGATGCTATTTATAATTACGACTCCAACTTGGCCGGCTAACTTAGTTTTAATTCGTTTTACCTTTTTAGTAAATATTATATAACAATAAAAATAGTGGCGGCAAACTTTATTTATTTCTTCTCGATCGTTCATGTTCATAAGTGTACCAAGTTACGTTCATTACATTACTTCTGACTTTGTCTTTTAGTGCGAGTTGGTCCAGATGCCAGATTCGGCGCCACATCCCACTTCTGTACCATACAATATCATCAATAATTACTTTTCTATTGGAGTGGTAAGTTATTCATTACTATTTAAAAGAAAAGTTGGCGAGTTATATAGATATAAGCACCCGAAATGTCGGGCCGCAGTTAAAAATAATTTTCAAATAAGTATAACTAATATATATCGCATTTTAAACCGCTAAAGTGATTTATTTAAATGAGTTTAATTATCCTACTTCTTTCGACTACTGCACTATTAAGAGGAAATATTCTCTTTTATAAGAGAGTTTTCTACACTGTACTGTACTGTACAGTGTGGAAAATCTGTCTGTGTAAATAAACTGTATACACGTGTACAGTTTCTACCATGATTTTCATTCGATAACACTTATAATACATATTCCAGGATGCAGCGATTTGCGTGAAATTCCACACAGAGAGGGAGAGGAACCCTGACAAATTCAGCTCCCGGATGAAGAATAAGCTTTGGTACTTCGAGTTCGCTACGTCAGAGCAGTTCGCTGCTAGTTGCAAAAACCTACACGAGAATATCGATATTGTTGTGAGTCTAGCTGACACTATAAACGTTTTACCGCATGTAGGGTATAGGTCGGACATATTTCTGTGCCTGTTTTTGATGGACTCGTTGGTGTAATGGTACACTGACGGCTAATAATCAACTGTTCGTGGGTTCGGTCCCCAGCGGGTCCAACATTTTATTAATTAATTTATAATTTTTCTGAAACATGTTAGACTTCGTCTGGAAATCTAGATATTGAATAGATGACAGGAGGAATTTTGAAATTCCTTCCGGATGGATTTCCGAATATCCAAAGTAAAAATATTTCCACAGCGCATCTTGTGCAGGCTTATTGTCCTCCTCTATCCTTAAATAAAAAGAAAACTGTTTGATTAACTTAACGTAAATTCTTGCCTTTAACCAAAATGAATATTATCGCAAGGTTTTTGTAATAGGTATCCTCTGTTTTACAGTGTGATGGATCATCTCTAGAACTAAGCAAAGGACCGGCTCTACAGGGTGTTGCTTTACTGAATATACCATATGCCCACGGTGGGTCTAATTTGTGGGGAGCCAGCGGCGCGCATAGGAGGGGAAGGTTTCCCAATGCACAGCAAGGTACAAAAATTGTAAAAACCTTCCCCTTAAAAAAAATTTTTTTTTTCCCGGATTGAACTAGGACTCTTTTAACACCGACGTTTACCGACCGTCACACCGATAAGTCATAAAATATCGTATGTAAACGGACAAAGGAATGAGACAAAATTAACGTCGTCAAATAACTTATGCTACAACACTGATTTTCAGCAAAACCCTACCGTTCGTCTGTTAGATAGCGCTGGTACAACCATTTGATATTTTTAATAATAGTGACTTAAGCGGGAAACATTAAATAATGAATTAGTGAATATTGCAATTATTTCTTTTATTGCAATAATTATATTGTTAATAACTTATTATTACATAAGTTTTGTATGGTTCGTTTCAGATATTGGAGATAAATTAATAGAGGTGATAGGATTGGAGAATTGCTTGCACATGGGGCAAGTGCGAACAGGTAAATAAAATAATAAAATAGCAAGTATCTTGAAACGCGCAATTTCGAAATGGCATTTTGTATCTGCGCACGATGTTTTGGTAAATTGTCTTGTTAAGATAAGAAGCGTGAAAGTTCGCCGTAACGGTGAGTATCCCCGGAAGGCTTAGAATATAGGACCATTAAATCTCATATAATTCAGTCGTATAATATTTGAACAAGATGTACCGTCGAAGGAAAACAAAAACAAGATCTCCGTTCCTTCAGCCCCTCAGGCTCTCTTAGATCTTTCCCCCTCTCTTACCTCTGAAACATCAGCACCCTGTATCAGTCCTATATCATCACGCCTTATTAACTCAAACCAAACCACGAACACAGAAGCGAAAAACTGGTTAGACAAAGGCAAAGAGGCACTAAGAAGCTCCCGAAACCTAAAAACAGAACTTAAAGTCATAATTGAAAAATCCATTTTTAACTTGTATAAAATAGCAATTTCCACTTCCCCTGAAAATCCCTCTTTACCTTCGCAGCTAGAACTTCCTCCGCCTTCATCTGCTCCTACTGAGCCCATCACTCCAGATAACCCTCAGCCTCTTTTAACACCCCCTTTTGAAGTATGGACCAATAAGATTGATAACCACACAAAACTACTTGAGGAAAATACAAAGACCCTAAATAAACTCATGAATAAAATGAAAAATATAACAAGCAACAAAAACGCAAGCAGTAACGCTACTCCCGAACTCCCCGGCCCCCCCAATGACCCAGCCATACGCTCGTATGCGACCATAGCCTCCCTGCCCAAACCATCGGGCCCTTCACTGGTTGTCAGTGGAGAGGCAAACTCCTCTGCACAGGCCCTAATAGAACACATCCGCAAAGACATCAATTTCCGAGAAGGAGGATATGCTCCACAGCAAATCACACCCTTGTCCAAAGGCAAAATACGCGTCACTTTCGATAGTGACGATAATAGAAAGGACGCAATGAGGCAACTTGCTAAATCACGAACCCTTAAGGCAGAGGAAGAAAGGAGATTTGACCCCCTCATCTGCCTCAAAGGAATCTCCAAAACCACCCCAAAATCTGACGTAGTTCAAATGATCAAAGAACAAAATCCAACGCTTAAAGAAGCTAACCTTAAAATAAAATTCCAGCGTGACAATCGAAACGATAAACTATACAACCTCGTGTTATCAACTACACCCGCCACTTGGCGCGCTCTCATTGAGTTGGGTCGAGTTGCTATCTCATATCAGCGCGTTCACTGCAGCGACTTCTCTCCTTTCCTGCAATGCAGAAACTGTCTAGGTTTCGGTCACACGAAAAATCGCTGCCCAGCAAGCACCCCAAGTTGTGCCAAATGCGCCTCTACCCACCCCACAAGAGAGTGCCCCAAGGAATCATCCGCGACACCAACGTGCGTAAACTGTAACGAACATAACCAACAATATAAAACCAACAACGACACCACTCACCGCGCTGACAGCGAACGTTGCCCCAAAGTGAAAACCATGCGAGCCCGCGTTGAAGCTAAAATTAACTATCACTAAACATGAGCACAAATAATAAATTATCTTTCACTCATGCGAACCTCGATAGGTCTCGCCTTGCATTCCACGAGTTTAAACTACACTTCTTAAACAACGACACAGACATCGCACTTATTTCAGAACCATACATAGGTAAACACACCACAGGTCTCCGGACTTTTCAATCCAATAAGGACGAACCCACTAAAGCCTGCATTATCACCAAAACACACATTAATGCACACATTCTCTCAGAATACACAACCAATAACATCGTCACCATCGCGATCACTACTCACTCAGTAACACTATACGTTGCATCAGTCTACATCGAACCGGTCAACGACATTAGCCAAACTCTCTCATTGCTCGAAAAATTCCTTACGTACAACCCAAACGCGCATGTCTTAATAGGAGGCGATTTTAACGCATGGCATCCACTTTGGGGCAGCGGAAAATACGCACGCTATAATAATAGGGGCCGCGATCTTGTAGACGTCATTCACGCCACAGACCTCTTCATTTGTAATACCGGAAACACACCCACTTTCGAAACATTTACACACGGACAATCACGGTCTTCGATTATCGATCTAACCCTTGCTTCCTCCCCGATAAACAATAAAATTACAGAATGGACCGTCCAGCAAAATCTTTTCCCACATTCGCACCACAATCCGATCACCTTTAAATATAACCAATCAAACAATCCAATTGTTAAAGCAAAACCAAACAGCACATTTAAATATAAAACCCAAAAAGCAAACTGGCATGCCTTTAAAGAATCACTACACACAAACATAGCAAACTGTGACATTCTTGAAACAAACTTCCGCGTTCTCACCCCAAAAGAACTAGACAATACTGTAACTAAATTAACAGAACTCATTAATCAAGCAGCCGGAGAAACACTTCCCTCGCGCTCTCATTCTCACAAACCTAAAGCACCCTGGTGGAATAACCACCTGGAAGAACTCGGAGCCACGTGCAGGCAACTGCACCACCAACTTAACCGCGCCTCCAGAGGAAACAACCCACCACCTACGGACCTCGTCAACGCATACACACAAGCGAAGGATTCGTACTCCACCGCCATGCGCAAGGCTTCAACAGACAGCTTTAGGGAATTTTGCGAAACACAAAACAAGGAAAATGTTTGGTCGGTCACCAATCGTCTTCTCAAAACATCCACACCAAATATTCAACCGGGCACACTCAAAATTAATAACACTTACACTACCACAGAAAAAGAAACCGCTCAAGCACTACTGAACCATTTTTACCCAAAAAACTCCGCCAACACCGAACCTAGACATGTCGACCTCACAGATAGGTCCGGCACACCTCCCGATACCAGTAACGACCCACCCTTTACCAGCTTAGAAATTTTAGATGCCCTCAGCTCCATCGGTCATAACAAAGCCCCTGGACACGATCACCTTACCAGCGACATATGTCTTACAGTAGCCAAAGCTTATCCCGACTTGCTCAAAAACATATTGAACCGATGTTTAGAAATTGCTCACTTTCCTACACCCTGGAAAGCAGCAACAGTAAAAATAATACCCAAACCCGGTAAAACTGACTACACTGAACTTTCATCATACCGCCCCATCGGTCTTATACCAGTATTCGGAAAGGTGCTAGAAAAGCTATTAACCAAAAGAATTACTTATAACGCCCATAAACAACACCTACTAAATAAAAACCAATTCGGCTTCACCGAACAAACAGGAACCACACAGGCAATTCAATCCGCTCTAGAAACAATTAAAACGGCTAAACTTAACAAACAACTCGTCGTCGCAGTCTCACTAGACATTAAAGCCGCATTCGACAATGCATGGTGGCCAGCCGTCTTCGAAGGCCTCCGTCAAATTCAGTGCCCGCGCAATATTTTCCACACTTTCCGTAGCTACCTTTCCAATCGCTCGGTCACAATACATTTAGGGAATACTACTCTTACGCAATCCACAGAGAAAGGATGCATTCAGGGTTCTGCATGTGGCCCCATTCTGTGGAACATCATCATTAACGACCTCCTTAGCAACATCACTCTACCCTCAGGATGTACCTTACAAGCCTACGCTGATGACGTCCTTCTGATTGCATCGGCGAAGGACTTAGCAACCCTAGAGAACGCCCTCAATATAGCACTCGAAAATATTCGCATATGGGGCAATAGCGTTAAACTACAATTCGGTCCCACAAAAACTCAATGCACTTCATTTACGCCAAAAGCCACGCAGGCTGCAATCTTTTTCGACAATACTCCCATTCGCTTTACCAACTCATTTAAGTACTTAGGTGTTATTATCGATAGCAAACTTAACTTTAACGAACATATCACGTACATCACCAATAAAGCACTAAGAATCTTCCAAAAAATTCAAATATACACCAGGCCCACCTGGGGGCCCCACCCGGAAAATATCAGAATCATTTACAATAAAGTAATTCAACCAATAATAACTTACGCTGCCAATATATGGGGACACGTAGCATCAAAAATATACGTCAAAAATAAATTAATAAGCTTACAACGAAACTTCGCGATTAAAGCCATTCGTGGGTTCCGAACCATATCCTCCAACGCTGCCATTGCCCTAGCTCGTTTCACACCTCTAGATCTCAAAGTTTTAGAAACCCACGAAATAGACACAACCCGTATCAATCGTACTACAAATAGAATCCCTAACGATATCCCCCTCGAAAAACCGGCAAACTTTTCAGACTTACTTCACCCAGCTGAACGTATTTTAATTCACACACCCACAACCGATACATACAATCAAATTAATCACTCCGCATATCACCACATTTACACAGACGGTAGCAAACACGAGAACGGCTCTACAGGCGCTTCTTTTGTGGTGTACCGCCCTCTTGAACGCACACACAAACACGTGCACACAAAACTCGTCAAACTTCACCACACCAGCTCTGTATTTCAAGCAGAGCTTGTCGCTATCAAACACGCATGCACATATATACACAACAAAAACATCACCCACGCCATCATCCACACAGACTCACTCTCCTCAATCTCTGCCCTCAAACAGAGCAACAACACACACCCCACCGTGACAGACATACACAAAACACTTCACCAAATCCATTCCACGCACACTCACAACAATATACTCTTCAGCTGGGTGAAGGGGCACTCGGGTGTCGAAGGGAATGAAGCAGCAGATAAAGCCGCTAATAAGGCCGCAACCGCTCATAAAGCACCAGATTTTATTTCATGCCCCATTTCTTACATCAAGAAAATGATCAAAGATGAAACATCACTAACTTCCCAAACTAGATATTCTAACGAAAGTAAAGGGTCCCACACCAAAAATATATTCCCTCTTCTCACCGACATTGATACCTTCTTCAAAGCCATTCCCGTTTCGTTCCAAATGACGCAATTCCTAACAGCCCACTCCTATGCAAAACATTACTTACACCGATTCCACATTTCTGACGACCCCTTCTGCCCCTGCAACAATACAATCAATCAAACCCTCGACCACCTCATAAAGCACTGCCCCCGCTTCACTCTTCCCCGACGCGCACACGAAGAGCTTTGCTGGTACGCGGACACAGAACCTTATAATATACCACTTGTAATCAAAAAAACAGATACAGCTAAATCATTCGAAAAATTCATTAAACACATAATAAACAACTTAAAAAGCTTCAACCAATCAAGCACCCGCGATAATTAACTTAAAAACACCAACGTACTCAATTCAAAACTCCCTCGCACTCACCTAACGGCCAATCCATTCATCAATATGTCTCAAGTTACTAAGACGCGAACATTTATAGTAGGTATCAATAGTTCCCGGCTGTATTATATTCCCTGTATGTCATAAACCATTTCTTGTTAAGTCACATATTGTCATCTAATTTCAATTTTCACATTGTATAATTATAACTTTCAAAACCTATGTTATCATGGACATTTGTAATAGTTATCAATAGTTCCCTTCTGTATTGTATTCCTTGCACGTCATAGATCATTTCTGTTAAGTCACTTTTGTCACCTAATTTCAATTTTACATTGTATAAATATAGCTTTCACTATTTAGCATATAAGTCAATATTGTATAATTTTGCCCTCTGCAAACTCATCATATAAAACAGTAAAAACAGGTTAGCATTGTATTCCTTTAAAAAATAAGACCATTTGTAACTCTATATAAATTGTCAAACTTTTGTAAAGATAGCTTCCTTTTAATTGTAACTTCTAGGTTAAGCGATGTATTATTCATAGAATCATTTGTAAATAAAAACCTAGCGCTTAAAGGAACTTCGTGGATAGTTTGTATCAAATAGCAACAACCACGAAGTTCCTAAAACTTTACTGTATCATTTTCAACCAAATTAGAACCAAAGTTAAAAAAAAAAAAAAAAAAAAGATGTACCGTCGGCCTTTTTGTCGATGACTACACTACGTCTTTTCCAACTTTAAAGGGCCCTTTGTAACCCACTTAATATTGAACATATATATATGTGTGTGTTTACATACCTACATGTTGAACATGTTGAGAATGAACCCACGACCCATGAATTATTATTATTATTTAATTATATATTAGTTGCCACAGAGGACAATATAATTTCTAATATCTACTTACAAATATTGACTTTCTTCAGGTTTACGCGCATCCGGGCGTCGTCTAGCGCAATGCAGTTCCATAACAATAACAACGAAGAGAACCTTTCCCATGCAAATCGACGGAGAGCCATGGATGCAAACACCATGCAAGGTAGTCGAAAAAAATGAGGCCGAAAATTCGGCTCAATTTGCTGTTCTACTGATTATCAATTCGCTTCAAACGTGATACAATATTTGAAAAGTCAATAATTTTTTACATGCACATGAAGGCACTATATAATTTAAAAAACATAATTATAAAAAGAATTGGTACAGCAACAGCACGGAACGCTGACGATGCCGGTTCAAGTCCTGCCCGAGTCGAACTTTTTTTCAATTTATTTTCGATTTTTAAACTTGAGTGTCATCAGAGAAGATGTTACTAACCAAGCGGATATTAAAAATATATACCTTCCCGTGACCACGGCTGCTGCAAAGCATCCGGGACGTCGAGCTCTAGTTTAAATAATTTGTCAATAAGTGTTACTAAGATGTTTTTAATGTTTTATTTAAATGTGTGTAAGCTCTCGTAAGCTACTTAAATGTACAACTGTTATACTGCCATTATTAAGCAATACCAAATACCCCTCATCAAAATTTACATAAAAAAAATTACATTGTTTATATCTGGTGTACAAAAGTATGTTTTTTTTTTCAGATAACAATAACTCACAAGAACCAAGTTCCTATGTTGATGGGGCCAGCACCAGAGAAAGGCCGAAGCTTCTTCAAGATTTTCACACACTGCTAGCCGTCCTGCTCACTGCTTATGGAACGCTACAGACAAAAGTATATCCGTCTCATTTTTGGATTCCCAATTACGAATACCGCACTGCAGTTGTCTTTTGTTTTACGTGTATATACGAATTAGAAATGTTAACGTCCATTTTGCTATGTTATACATCAAAGTAAAGGCTGTTTCATTTTTCCCCACTGCAAGGGGGCTGTATACTGTAGTATGCTTTTATTTCTACGCTATACTTGTAAATGTCGCTTTAAAAATAGTTTTTACTAGAAACAAAGAATATTTACTACTTTCCAGACTGACATTCGTCTTGCATTTATTTTAACACTCTTAAAATCAGCAATTTATTACAGTGTATGCTACATAAAATAATTAAGATTATAGAGAAGCTTTTTGTATATATTGTGCCAATTATTATAACGTCCTTTTTAGTAGTCAATCGTGAATTGAATACAGCAGAAATGTAAACCTATAAAGACGACCAAGAGATGGCGTTGATATCAACTCTTATTAGACATACATTTTGCTGTCAATTCACGTATATTATGTATTTTGAGACGTTTATTATATAATTTTTAATAGAATGTTTAAAATATTGTAGTGTACCCGAATTAAATATAAAATCTAGATATATTATATGTGCTTGTTATGCATATTGAGATTATACTAGGCTTCTCGTCTACCCTTAATCGTCCGTTATACTAAGATAAATATATTAAACTATTATCGATCTCAGAATATAACTCAAATATATATTTTTATCTAAAAACAACGTTTTAATGATAATACTTATATCTGTCTGTATGTTTGTTATTTTTATTTAAGAAAACGGGTTTTGTTGTTAAGTTTTTTACGTAAATATATCTAGGTCTACGAATCAATGTTATCTAACTATAATCGTGTCAAAATGTTTTTTATTTAATTCTAGCCATTATCATCGTCATCTTAGTGATTTAAAATAATTTACCTTTAACCTTTCAAGTTAAACAAGGTTTTGAGTTAACAAGATAACAATCTTTAACTATATTTAAAAATGGCTGTACTTAAACTAGAATTACTGAAAATGTACTACAATAAAAACTAATAATTATTTTCAGTCATTAAGACGAACACTTCAACGTAAGATTCATGAATTTAAATGTTTACATGTATATTTGTGCGGTGTGCATTATGAAATATGAATGTCGTTATTGGGATTATCAATTTAATTAATGTTTGTCCACAGATAATTGAATTGAGAATTTTAATTAGTATACGCCGAAAGACGCTTTTTGCACGATCATAAAAATAATGCTGCACGTACACCGAACACCGTAAAGTAGATTGGTCCGAGGATTCTTCCTTTATTACAAAATCCACAACATAGTCACCCAGAACAACATCTTCCAACTTTTTCATCGGCTACAATGAGTCAGCTAGCCTGTAAGTAATTTAGCGAGGCAAGGTTTTATTTCAGCCGTTTGGTGCCCAGTGTTAAGTGAGCCCCAAAGACTTACAGGTTTTCTGTTTACCTCGAAGGAGATCGTCGAAAATTATAGCCTCTCTTGCTCCCCAGTTACATTTCCAGTGCAGTGCAATTACCGTAGCCAAGGATTGCCAGGCTGCCGTGGGGGGGGGGGTCTTGGTGTAATGCCTATACTCGCCACGCTTGACAACCGGTTCGTTTTTAATAGCCTTGCGACGCTTGCGTCCTATGTTTAGTCATTCCTTACGCCATCTGTAGGAGGATTTGGGAAGATACTATTCTTACTTCGGCACCCCACGGAATCCAAGTAGCTATATATAAATAGAAATGCAAAAAGCGTGTTTCCGGTAGACTTTAGTTTAATTGTAATATAAATAGATGAATTTAGCGAAACGCGGTGAAACCAAACTAAATCTATGCCAGCTTTAATAGCGTTAAGTATATTAATATATTGAATGAAATTATGAATTATATGTATTATTGTAACAAATATAATATGTGCATTGAGGCGCTGTTTTACTCTTTTACTTGTTTTAATGATTAACTTGTTTTAATGTATAAGTAAACTGAGGGTAACATTTTACCTACCAACTATTTTGTTGTTGTGATTAGTTCTCTCAATTGTATATCATGCGAGTTAGTTGTGATTAGTTGAAAAACTTCTTTAATACCAGACTGAAAATCGAAAGTAAGGAGTATACATACCATCCCTCCCTTACGTTAAGCCTCGTCCCGGTTTCCAACTAATACGGTAGTTATTCACCAACTAACTCTGGTATCTTCAAAGCCCCAAGATAGGGTTATATACTGTCGTGGACATTTTTTAAAATCATTTAAAGAAACATCTTGAACCGTTTTCGCAGCGGCAACCCTCAAATAATTTTCCCCGTTTTTTTTTTCCACATTTTCTTCACTCCTATTGATCGCTACTTAATATAGCCTGAAGCATTGCTTTATAAAAGCTCTGACGAATACAAAAACAATTTTTCATTTAAATAAAACACTTTAACGGTTTAAAACGGGATATATTAGTTAAACTTATTTGAAAATTATTTTTAACGTCGGGCTGAAGTTAAAAATCATTTTCAAATAAGTTTAACTTAAAATAACACTTTAACGTTTTAAACCGTTAAAGTGTTTTATTTAAATGTGTACTACTCGCGTAAACTATAGACAGTATTTAACAATTTTTCAATTAAAAACCACTTGCTCCTGAGATTTGCGCATTCAGACGAACAAACAAACTCTTCAGCTTCATAATATTAGTATAGATCCTTACCGATAGATTTAAGAGCCTAAGAAGGCAGGAAAGAACACGTTTCAGTGGATGACTGAGAAATTCCTATAGGCAACATGTTTTAACTAATAAGTCAAAATATATACTTTTATCTTTCGTCAAGGCGCATCTAGTTAAAATAATTGCACGTTTCGCCTGGTTCAAGAAAAACGGTTTTCTACTTAGAATTTTATATGGCTATCAGCTGAATAAAATAATTCAACGTTTTAATTTCTTTTATCGCTATTAACGTTTCGCCTATTTTCTATGCTCGGTAATTATAGTATATAAGAGGATCATGTTTTTAACAATATCAAGCATTCACCCGTAAAAGGCAAAATGAACAACGTATTTATGGTAAGTAACCTCTTTCAAGTATTTTATTTTCTTAAAAGAATGTTTTTCTTTAGTTTATATCGTCGATTTTCAAACGTGCCTAAATTTTAAAATCTATCCAGCATGCATTAATTCGACTTTATAAATTTCCCAAATATCTTATAACTATATCTTATCTTTATTCGAGTATATTTTCTTTATTAATAAATTTATTCTTTCCCCGCAACCTCTGCCGTATTTCAGAATTTTGGGCGTCTCTCTTCACTAAGATTCAGCTTAGCAAAATATATTCGGAATTTAAATAAAACACTTTAACGGTTTAAAACGCGATATATTAGTTAAACTTATTTGAAAATGATTTTTAACTTCGGCCCGACTTTTCGGATACTTTGCAGCAGCCGTGGTCACGGGGAGGGTCGCAGCAAGTGTTAAGGTTGAAATTACATTGCGCGAGAGGTGCATGTATCAATAAGTTGAAAAAATTCGACGATGAGGTGTAGGACTCGGTAGCTCAATTGGCAGAGCAACAGCACGGAAAGCTGACGATGCCGGTTCAAGTCCTGCCCGAGTCGAAATTTTTTTCAATTTATTTTCGATTTTTAAATTATATAGTGCCTTCATGTGCAATAACATGTGAAAAATATTAATGTATTCAAAAAATTAAATACTATTTAGATTGGAAACAGCACGGAATGTTTTTTAATAGATTTTTTAATTCACCACCGTTTCCTAAGTATTTGCTTCTTAAAGATGGGTTTTAAGATGAAATTTGCTTATTTATTTATCTGGTTACATTATATATTTCTATTATTGCACAAGAGAACAAAAGCACGGTATGCTAGACATATTCCTTTAATAATGTATTTTTTCATTTACCAATTTTATTTAATTATACATGCAGTATCTTTAGTAACCATTGTTAAAAATAAAAATAATCATAAGGCATAGATTAACTGATAAACATATAGACTAATAAATTTCATTTTATTTATAGGTCGCTCTTGCGATATTAGTCACTGTTGTGACTATCGCCTATGGCCAGTGTCCTAACTGTCAAAATGGAGCGGAAGCATCATCGCCCTAAGACGAGCCATTTCGGAGATGCAGTAATACATAATTATAAACTACTATAGTGATACTAAATTCTTAACATTCGGACCTAACTTTAAAAGAAAAGGGAATTTCAAAAATGACTATAACTTTGCTCTAACTTGTATTAATTTATTTATATGCCTTGTAAAAAATATGTAAAGATTGACATTAACACAAATATAGCAATTATAAAAAGTAAACTAGTTATTTGCATTTTTTATAACTACATATAGGAAAGAAGAACTTAATGTATTGGTAGAAAGAATGTACAGCGCCGGACTCCGACGGATCTTATTTTTAATAATTTAAAATTTTCTACACAAAATTATTAACTAAGTCTAGCCATATAATAAACTTGTACAATTTGAATAATATAAAAAATAGACAAACAGAATATATTACAAATCAAATTAAAAATCATTTATTCATGTACACTCGGTACACTTATGAACGTCAATATAGATAAAAATTAAAAATTCTAAAATCACATTTGCTACCAGTTCCCATAGGGCGTAGAACCAACGAGAAGAACTGGCAAGAAACTCGCCGCTACTCCTTTTATCGTCGAGTTTTACAAGTTTCTTACGCACTTACTGTGTAAATCTTTCTTGAAAGAGCGTCCTTCATAGTCCAATCATTCTTAAAAGCTTGGAGACATTGTTCACATTAATTCTATATCTTTAATTCTAGTGACTAACATACACTAATATACGATTTAAGTCAAATTGTTACTAACACTTAGTAGATTAGATTAGATTAGATTTAGGAAATGGAAAGATAAATTATTATTTTTATTATTAAGAATTAAAAAGATATAACTCCAGCCCTGTCTCATAACATTGAAAAAGTAATGTTAATTGTATTCTAATGAGTGACGGGCGGTTTGTCATGTCTTTTGTTTGTCACTTCCGACATTTAGTTTATGAGATAAGAGTTAACAGCTGTTTCTTTTTGGTGGAATTTTGTCTCTAATGGATCGCGCTATCTGGTTGGGTAATATTCATTTGTTTCTCTGTCAAATCTAGTTATATATTTATTTAGTCTCACTTTAACGGTTTAAAACGCGATATATTAGTTAAACAAAACTAAGGAAAAAAAATTGAGAAAATTTAATATGTTACACGTTAATCAAAAAATATACAATACCTATAAATAAAAACATACAGATTTAAAAAAGGGTTGCGTGTTCACAAATTTAAATAAAAGGACTAAATACTTGGAACCTTTTAAAAGATACTTAGCATGCTACGGTTGGAAAAACCATTTATCTTTCATATTAAAAAGTAATTATAATAAAAATAATACAACAGTTGACTGAAAAACTTCGTCCCTGCTGTTTCAGGGCGAGATGGTACGATGATACGACCACCATTAAATAAATAAAGGAATAACATTTTCCCCATCTTTACCACCCATTTCGACACAGGAGTCGAATTTTAGACTTCGTGCAGCCAGGAAAGCCACTAAACCGACAAACTCTCAGGCATATATAACTGATATTAAGTCAATTCAAAGTACGTATTCATCGAGTTGATACATTAACAACGACGCGATACACTAACAAAGAGCAGATCTAATATTCAGCGTTTTAAACCGTTACAAGTCCATTTTTCATTCTTTCTACGAAATTAAATGCAGTAAATTACAATAAATCAGCAACATAACGAGACGGCAGTAGTGAAGCTGAAAAGTAATGTAGAATCTGACGGGAACGTTGGTCTAATGATAATTATGTATTATTAACGATTGAAGATAGGGTCGTAAGTTCGATCCCCGACAGGTCCAAAGTGTTACTAATTTTTCAATTTATAATTTTTCTGAATCACACTGGACTTCGACTGGAAGGGAACATAAATTCCGTCAAGGTCACGAACCACCGTCCACAGATGCAAGCCGTGAAGCTTAATCGCGTTTCGGTGTCAGTCTGTATATTACCGAATATCTAAAGCCAAAATGGGTCGACAGCACATCTTGATTCGATGCTATAAGCTGGGGTATGCCTACCATCAAATGAACCTCCTATTTCCGCCTCTATCATAAAATATCGCCAAAGCATTAATAACCCAGAGCTGACTCTCTAGCTCGCTCTAGAATTTCCAGTTGAAAGACATCGGATGCCTCGACGTGTTAAACCTCTAGCGTGCAACGCGTTGAGTAAGGAGTGTCGTTAATTAAATTTGTCGAAATACGTAAACCATCTGACGAAATACGAAACACTTAATTGGGCGTACACCCTTATTCAATTACAATTTTGTTAGCTCACGCGTGTTGCTTAAGGAATATATAATATTTCAAGTATATATAACAAATTACACGAATGTACAACATTTAAAAAGAATCGAACAAGTTTCACTCACGAGTAGTAAAAATTTAAATAAAACACTTTTAACGGTTTAAAATACGAAATAAGGCAAGGCAGCTTCAACATATACATGTACCATTTTGTGATATTATAAATAAAAATCCATTTTGGGGAACAGTACGTTGGGACTAAAATTCGCGATTTCCAAAAGTGGAATAATATATGATTACGACATTAATAACATTACGATCGCAATTAAAATCGTTACGTCATAATTAAGACCATTTTCGCCGTTGGTAAGTTTGTAAAGATCACCGCCTCGTTTTTAATGCCTTTATTACTATTGAAAAATTCGCGAGTAAAAAATAAATACAATGATATCTCCTTTAATCTGTGAAAACACCGAGTGGAATTCGAAAAAACAGACGTCGAATCGATCTTTTTAGCAAGTGTAGGCTGACCATGCTTTAAGTAAACCTACTCAAATATTTTATCTATAACAGTAAAACAACAGACATGCGATCTTATTTTAATGGACACACAATATCCGTTTGACTGCTAAGGATCTGTCGTTTATTAAAATAAAACACTTTTAACGGTTTAAAACACGTAATAAGATAGTTAACTTTTTTACAACTTTTTTTTAATTACTTCCCCCTGTTCCCCATGACTACGGCTGCTCCGAAACGTTGGGCCATAATTTAAATTAAATTGTAAAAAGTTAAGTAATATATTTCGCGTTTTAAATCGTTAAATTGTTTCATTTGAATGGTCAGGTTATTTTTTTAATATAACAGACTTGAGACTATAGAAGGTACATACATCCGACCTATATACGAGAATAGTCAGTTTCGATTCGTTAATGAGTAAAGCGTCTTTAAGAATGGCACATGAGGTAGATATTTTTCTGTGTCTGTAAATTTTTGCGTACAGCGACGTCGCCGACGTAGACGACGTAGATTATTCAAGCGACATACATTTGAATACTAAAATATACGGCCTGGTTCCGAAAGCATGGTCATATTTAGTAAGTGCTCCAAGAACAGCCTTGCTCCACCTTGACATTAAATGCAATGCGAAGTACTCAGTACTGGTTCATCGTGGTCCGCGTTATGCATTAACGCGTCAGTCGGTGATTTAACGGTTTACTTTCCTTTATAGAATCTAGGTATCGGCGTTATTTTTTTTTACTTTGTATATATCGTATAATAATATTGTTGAAAAATGTACATTCTAATATTGCATAACTTTTTAATGATTAAAACGTAGTTACATACGTCTGGCATAAATAACCTATACTTCTATATTAAATATAATTTGCAAAATATAGATAAATAAATATCTCAGATACTTTAGTTAAAAATAGCAGGTGGTTTATTTGTTTCTAAATGTATTCTTCCTGCCAAATTTAAATATGTAAAATATATTTAATATGTAAAATAAATGGTGTACCTAATTGTTAGTGATATTATTTTTGAAAAATGGTGGACTCTCGCATAAACACAACCGATTAATTATACCGTCGGCACTTGTAACTCAACATTTATAGCGCAAGAGTTGAACCATAAAATTATGAGCGATTTATTTAAACAATATTTTTAACAACATATTTATGCAAAACCTTTGATAAGGCTCATAATATTGTGTTCCTTATTAATTTAGTGATTTGTATTTTATTTACGAGGTTACTGTACAAACAAATGTAATTTTTATCGCTTATTTATTGAAATGACAGTCCACGCCTTTTCGTTTAAACGTGTTTTTACATTGTTGAACGCCTACTTAAATTGTAAATCGCTTTCAGAAATAAGGAAAGTAATAATAAAAAGTTAAGCACATGTCGTGCATTAAAGTAAGTAGTTTTGGGAATAAGGAATAAGTAAAATGTATTAACTGAGTAAGTTACTATAGGAATATTTGTAATCGACGACAATTAGGTTTTTGAGTAAATATTGTGTGCAGGAGAGATATAAGTAATTAGCATTATGATCTTTCAATAAAACAACTTTCTGACTAGTTACGACTATATCTTATCTGGTTAGAGCTTTCAAAGACAAATATTTAGATATGGGATTTTTAGAATAATCATAAAGATAATACAATAAATAGATGTCATAGATAATACCATAAACGAGAACGAACTTAGTGGTATTTTTTTTAAGCCGTAAAGATATTAACTTAGATATAATAGACTCTTAGACTAGACCTGGTTCATCAAATAAGGAATCCCGAACTGGTGGGCTATTTTCGCGCTGTATCTAGTTGTCCGATTGATTTATTTTCTTTCCAACCGCGATATCGATCGTTACTTCCTGAAATACATCATATATTTGCGTTTTTTTCGTAGCCTAAATGCCAAAAACATTTGTAGAGCCAATCAATGAATGAAAAACAGTCTAATGAAATAGAATAACTTATACTATCTCAATATGTATATTTTTTCTATTAAAAGAGTTAAAACGCGGTTTATAACCTATAGCTAGTTTTATTTTAATGTGTAGGTACCAACTTAACAATAAATATATAATAAATAAGTTAACTAATATATTTCTCGTTATAAACTGTTAAAATTGTTTTATTTAATTAAAATTTAATTGATTGACCGTATTTATGATTGGGTCCCACATTTAACGTCTGCATATTGGTGACGTAAAAAAAATAAAAATAAAGAAACGATTTCCAAACGTTTC